ACAATCATTAGGCCTGAGTTGAGAGTTTGTCTTGGCTTTTTCATATACTGGGAATAATACCTTCAAACACTAACCTAAAGTCTACATCTGTAATCATTCTCAACTTTACAAAAGTGTGCTAAAAACATTCTACTGTTTCTTGAGGGTTAGATAAAACACATAAATCAAATAATAAATGGCATGTCATAAAAATTACCATTCTAATTGCTTTTCAAAATACTAAAATTGAATACTCATCTTCCAATGAACTAAGTAGGTTGAAATACAATGATGGAAACAAATACAAATTCAAACAAGTGTTCAAAATACATTCTAGAGGTTGCATTTTTGCTGTTATTTTATATAGTGAATACTGACAAAAAGTCAATTGCATTTGATTTTTGACTAGAAATACAGTTGCATTCATAAAACAATCTTTAGAAATATTTAGCATACATGTTTTATACATGGACTGTTTTCACCTCCCTGATATGAATATTATCAAATCTAACAAAATTTACTACTATGTTATTTTAAATTCTGGTATATTCTTTTATGTTACAGCTAAAATGAATCACCTTTAGTCATATCTCTAAACCATCTCATGGCTGAAATTTTTAAATGGCTTAAAACTGCTCAAACATCTTAGTGAAGAAAGTGCTTGCTTGACAACCTCAGACCTGATTTTAAATCCTGTGATGTAATCTTAATTAACATAATTTGGCATCAACAAAGAAATAACTTTTGGGAATAAACATGAGGAATTTTCTTGATTGGGTTATTAGACTGAAGAGACTCATCTTAAATATGGGAGACACCTTCCAGTGGCAGCTCAGGTAAAAGGAGATACAAGGAAAATAGCTTTTCTTTTTACACCATTGCCTTTGACTCTTGATGCTAAATTTATTGACTCTGTTTCTGCAGATATGCTGTTACTCTCTTCTTTCTCTCATAATAAAACTCAAGATTTTTGAACTTTTACCATGAACAGAAGAACAGTGGCTCACCGGGAATCTTCCAGATCTTCGGTGACACATTGATATTAGTGGGTCATATACCATGAAACAGACATTGTAATATTCAGATACTATCATGTAACCCAACCTAATAAACTTGTTTGTAATATATTTATATTCATTCTATCAGTTCTGTCCTTTTAGCCAAAACAGATTACCAGATTACTCTCAAACACTGTGGGTAGCAAAGTATTTCATGGGCCACACTGAGGGGACGGTAAAAGGAAGATCCTTGGTCTTGCTGGCCTGTTATTATCTCACCAAAACAATGAGTTCCAGGTTCCATAAGAGACTCTGAAAAAAAATAAGATAGAAAGCACTAGAAGTCAACATTTGAGGTTGATCACATGTGCCTTACCCCCCATCCCCCGACACACACACAGAGAGACCTCTGAAGAAACTACAAATGGGGAGGTAAAATCTGGTACACAATTTTATATTCACCTCACTATTAAACTATGACTGATACTTGCTTGTCTGTTAGTTTTTCTGAGATACGTTAAAGTCAAAATACCAGAATTTGCTCAAGATTGATAATACACAGCTTGTCTTCTCCACTCATTGTTTTAATCTTTGTTTTAATTTCAAAGCAACATACATCAGTTGTAAAAGTGTAGCCAATGGGGCTGATTTTTATTCAGTATTCCTGTATTTTTTCTAATTTATATTCTAATATCAAATTGAAGCATGTGATAAAGTGAGCCCGTTATGTATCTGCTTCTTTATACTAAGTGATCAAATTACTGTCCAATTTATTCTAAGTGGTCATACTGTTAAAAGACACCTGTTTGCTCTTAGGTTAATAATTATAAGAATGAGCCCAGGAATCATCAACTTTTTAAATAGTTTCCTTTTGAAATGAATGTAAAATGTAATAATTGTATAAAAACATTCAGAGCTTTTTGTTACAAACTAATGGGAGATAAAAAGAAGTTATGATAGCAATTATGCAAATGAACATTGGAAATGAGGCTGCTATGCTACTTGTTTCAGAAATCGTTTCAGAAGCAAGAGGCAAACAAAGGAATTAGAGATGAGCTACTGCAGAAACAGCAGTGCCATAACCATGAATGTCTCCTAGTCACTTGATTACCACAAAGATAATACATATCTTTTTGCTTACATTTTTCCTGCTTTATGTACTTTTCTTCTGTATTATACTCCTAGTCAATTAAAATTTGAGCCTATCAAGAATTTCTAAATCTGTTGGAGATTTAGTCCAAGTGGCAGAGTGACTGTCTGGCATGCATGAAACCCCAGGTTCAATCCTTAACAACATACATATGTACACACACACACACACACACACACAAACACACACACACACACACACACACACACACACACACACACACACATGCTAGATTACAAAGGTTTCAAAACACATTCTCATATACTGTGAGAGAAACTTTCCAACTTTTGAATAATAAAATAATTGGTTAAGAGGATTAAAGATATCTGAGAACAAAGTGAAAATTTGATAGTCTATTTTTCATTAACGTTTTCTTCCTATAGCATGTTACAGTTCATCAATGTCCATTTTGTTGAAATTAAGTTGAGTGTAGTTAAAAGTCATACACATGAGAAGTCTGAAAATTAAATATATATGACATGTAGAAAAGTCTTGCTTGTTGTTTTGGCTTTTATATGGAAGAAGAATCAAGGTCAAAGTCTGAAGCCATTTTGAGCACAGCAAGTCTATGAAAAGAAAGTAAATTTTTCCCAGTCCACTGTTAGTAGTTTCTGTAGAACTATTTTGCATTAAGATCTACTTTAAACATGGCAATGAGTTATATACTTAGAGTTCTTTGAAAAACAAAACAAAGGTATTTTGTCTTCATGAGTCTTACATTCTCAACCAAATACATAATGAATGAGTTCATAACTCAAGGGTCATAAATACACTCCAAATATTAAAGCATGTAACCAATTATAAAACTAAAGAGGTGGCTTCTGAAATACAATGTCATAATAAATATTGGTTTAAATATTTCCAAGTGGAAAGAAAGGAAAGGGGTTAGTAAATTATATTGTTCAGGTTACCTCCCCAATAAAGGTCACAGCTGGCACTTTCTTTTATTGAAATAATTTGAATAAATAGGAGAATTAAAAAATGGAATCCAAAAAAGGAGTGTTAAAGGACAGTTGTAAAAAAAATACAAGTATGTACTTATGCAAGTCCAACATGTGAGTCTCTACAGAACATTTGTTGGATAATAAACAAAAGCAGTTCTTGGTCTGTTCCATTAAGTTTCAATGAATGAAAATGATAAAGCTTTTTCAACGGTTTAAAGAAATTAGGGTTCTCTAAGAAGAATGTCATTTTGTATGCTAACTGACTTAGATTTACTGGTAAGATCCTAGACAACTGAAAGCCCTGGCAGGCATAATCATAAATGTTTTAAATTCCCAGGCCTAGCTTACCCATAAATGGATTCAGAGCTACATCTCCAATCAAAAAATTTAAAAATCTTACATCTTTATTTGGATTCTTAACTTTTAGTTCAATTACAGAGTTCATACCTACAAACTTTCATATATATTCAAATCATTTATTTGAATATTTTGATTGAAAAATTAATGTTTCTTTTTGTCAAGAGAAAATTATATTTTGATAATAAATTTTGGAAAAGAGGGAAATCATTTTTAAAACTAACCAGTTTCCAGAATTACAAATTAAGTTAGACAATATCTCAAATATATTTCAAGTTCATAAGAAGTTAGAAGCTGAAAATTAACAAACTGGTTTGTCATGTTTGTATAAGACATTTCAATAGAATATTTGTAGCAAGTATTAACATATTTCATTTTGAATAATACTGCATTGTATCTGCATGCTGGCTAGTTTTATGCCAACCTGGTACAAACTAGAATCCTTTTGGAAGTGGGAACCTCAACTGAGTGCATGCCTCTATCAGATTGGCATGTTGGAAAGCCTCCAGTGCATTTTCCTAATTGATGGTTTATATGGGAGTTCACTATAGGTAGTGCCACCAGTGGCTGGTTTTCTTAAATGTTATAAGAAAGCATTCTAAGAAAGCCAATAAACACTACTCCTCTACAGACCTGACCCTGATTCTGCCTCAGGTTTCCTTCCCTGAGTTCATGCCTCACTACCCTTGATCATGGATTTATAAGCATTAAGGTGACATGAAAACTTTCCTCCCTGGTTACCTTTAGTCATTGTATTTTACCACAGCAATAGGAATCCTGACTAAAGCAATCAAAGTTTCCATAACTATATGACCATGGTTTATGAAAACAAAGCATGAACAAAGTTTTTTTTTAGGTATTTGTTAATACAATTATGTGAAATTAATAATGTATAACATGATGCAAAACACAGACCAAGCATGGTACAAGGGCCAGTATTCCTAGCACTTAGAAGGCTGAGTAGGAGGATCCTGACTTAGTGAGTTCAAGGTCATACTGAGGTACATAGCAAGGAAAAAAATGTGTGAGTATATGTGTGCATATGTATGTGGCATATGAGTTTAATTGTGTCTGCGTGTGTGTGTGTGTGTGTGTGTGTGTGTGTGTGTGTGTTGGTGTGTGGGTGTGTGTTTGTGGTGTCAGTGAGTTTGATTAAACAATACTGACACAAAATATCAGTAATGACACCAAAAATTCCTAGGCTTGTCTGTGGAAACAAATTCTCATTGAAAGTGTTTGCCAATTTCCAACACACACACACACACACACACACACACACACACACACACAAGCACATACACACACACACACTCACACACACACACGTCTAACATTAGTTGTTGGATAATAGAACAGATAAAAATGTGTTAAAAGCCTGGTTATTTGTCCCATCAGAGCTGTCCTTAAGACAGGTCTATCTGTGTGGTTCTTTGATCTCGGATGGAAGTATTTTGTGAGCACATAGTAACTTCCATGTCTCTGACTAATCTGCTACCTACAAGTCAATGAAAATGACATGGTTAAACTGGAGAAGTCTGAGTCACCAAGGTAATGTATGATTAATGGACACTTGGTAGGAATGGAGTCTTGCTCCAGGTTAGGATCATCAGTGTGTGGAAATTGCACATTGGAAACCACTTGAGTGAAGGCTGGAGAGCCAGGGCAGAAACTGGAAATGACTCTGAGTAAGGACTACATTTGCATGGGGAGGTCCAGAACTCACAGAAAAAGATAAAGACCCAGGAAGGAGGTTAAAATGATATAGGAATAGTACAACACTTGACACTCAGGGGAAGACTAGAGACACAGCATCCAACCCTAAATCCTAATCCCACAGAGGGACATTATTCCTTTCCCTGTTTTGGCTTCCTCTTCTCCTGAACACTGCAAACATCATTGAAATTAAAAGGAGGACTTGGCTATTAAAAAACAGCAACTCAAAAGAAAGAAACACTCATCCAACAAACTAAGTCTGGTTGCACAAGTACCAGTGAAGAAAAAAAAGCAATATGAAAAGCCAGGATATCATGTCTTCCACAAAATTACTGATCCTATGGCTTCTAGTGATGATTCAGACTAACTTCCAGACAAAGGATTTAGTGGACCGGGAGTGTTATTACATGCTTTTATTCATTATGCATGAAGGAGGCAGAGGCAGGCAGCTCTGTATTAATTCAAGAACAACCTGGTTTTGAAAGATAAAAGACTAAAGAGTGAAATCATCTATAAAGACAGGCCCATCAGAATAATACCTGATTGTGTAAAAGACAGGTGAGTAATAACAATGTGGGCTCCTAAAAACCAGTTCATGCAATATGGATAAATACTGGTTCCACTGCCAGCAGACTGATAGACTGCCTAAGCCCCCCAACTGACACCCACATTCAGGGGGCCGAGTTGAGTCTTATGCAGATTTCCCAACTATCAGTCTGGAGTCCATGAGCTCCCACTTGCTCAGGTCAGCTGTTTCTGTGCGTTTCTCCAGCATGGTCTTGATCCATTTGTTCATCACTCCTCCCTCTCTACAACTGGATTCCAGGAGTTTGGCTCAGTGTGTAGCTGTGAATGCTGGCTTCCATCAGCTACTGGGTGAAGGCTCTATGGTGGCATTTAAGGTAGTCATTAATCTCATTATAGGGGAAGGATGTTTAAGGTAGCCTCTCCACTATTGCTTAGATTCTTAAATCTCTAAGCCTCTCCACCCTCTGAGAAGGAGGGTGGAGGACAATGGTCCTGACTCAAATGATATGATAGAATTTGATGATTCCCCCAGGGGAAGACTTGCCCTCTCTGCAGAGTATATGAAAGGGGTGGGATTGGGAGATGGTTGGGGGAGGTGGGAAGACAGGAAGGAGAGGGAACTGGGATTAGTATGTAAAATATGATGGTCTTTAATTTAAATTTTAAAAATTAATAAAAATATCTTAGAAAGAGAAAAAAGAAAAGACAATATGGTACATGTACACTATGGAATACTCTGAAACTTTAAAGAAAAATGAAGTTTGCTAGTAAATGTGTAGAACTGGGATCTAAACTGAGTGAGGAAGTACCTGCCATCAAAAGACAAAAGATGTTTTTCTCATTTGCAGGCCCTAGTCTCAAACCTTTGTGTGCTAATTTAGAGCACGACTTGAGACAAGGAAATGCCACGTTGTTTTTGGTTTTGTTTGATTGTTTTTTGGACAGTCATACTAAAGGAAGATAGATAATATTTTACATGTGAAATGGTAGTAGAAAGTTGCAATACTTCGGCAGAAAGGGAAGGACATGGGAATATGGAGAAGCAAAGGGATGGAGGGTGTATGAAATACTATATGGATGCCTACTATCTCACAATGCAGTTAAAATAAAGCTAAAAGAAAGAATTGTTTAATAAATAAATAGACAATTGAGGGAAATAGAAGGAGTTCAAGTGTTAGGGATTGCAGATGGGTAGGGGAGTAAATAGTAAGTGTGTTTACTAATATAAAGCTACATACAAAAAGCCTTATGCAATCCCACTAGTTGATAAACTAATTTTGAAATGCAATTTTAAAAACAAAACTGGAGAGTTTAAGCTGAAATACTCAATGTGGGTAGACAAGATACTCTCAGAATATACTAGTTATTAGGTGAAAATAGCAATGTGAGGTATGGAGTATCTCTCTGAGAGTTATAAGTAGGTCCAAGAGTTTTAAAAATCACCCCAGTCTATTGCCTTGATTACACTCTGTAACTACATAGTAAGGACCTATTGCTGAAGATATCACACACTGGCTATAGCACATACAGAAACCAATCTCACACCAACTAGAAAATTCTTTCCCATTGTCTACTTTATTAGTAGGTACTATAAGTACCTATTAATGCTAGAAGGTACTATACATGATGCTGAAAGAGAAAGACATGAATGTCTGGATCCAGAGCAGGACAATGCACATTGTCATACAGAACTGTCAGTCAACTGCCATCTAGTTTCTGATTGGATCTTAGGCCTGACCCAGTAGAAAGGAATCTGATGCATGTTATTTAATACAGATAAAATCTTTTGGCTGGGCCAAGTGTAGAAGGTTTTTAGGTCAAGGATGGAACCTGCTATTGTTTCGTTAAATGGCCACACCATTATAGAGGCTTCTAGATATTTATTTATATTTATAGCCATAAACATACATTCCTTTCAAACTTGGTCAGAGAAACTTCTTTGTGCCCTGTGTATCAGTCAACAGAAAGATGCATAACTACTCAAAGTGTAGAATCAGTATATTAGTTCCTTCCCTGAAGGGCCCAGGTAGTATGATAGAACAGGATATAGAAAAAAAATATAAGAGCAGGAAGATGGAGAGGTTTTCTCTGAAGCGGTGCCTTCTAAAATATGCCATCACTATTTAACCCATGAGCTCATTGAAGCTGCAGTTACCTGCACACTATCAAGCCGGCATAGATGGACTGGATCATCTCTGGGTAGCATTCTTTACTGACAAGATGTTAGCAGTTGACTTTTGTGGAGATGGTAGGGTAACTCTTCTTTGAGAACTTGCCTCCTGGTAGCTTTCCCATGCTCCCGTGGATAAAGCTATACTCATACACATACCGACCCCACTAAGTGGACTTAGTGGAAAGGCATGAGTTCTAGAGTGAGGTCTATTGATAGGGGGATGGGAGAAAGTAAAGGGGCAAATATGTTGAGGTTTCATTGAACACAGATTTGAAATTTTCTAGAATAAAGATAAAAAAGAAACAATGTAAGCTACAGGCAAGTGCTAGAGGAATGTGATGTCCATGGAAAACACAACAATGCACACATGACCCTGGTATTTAATAGCTTTTTTCACGATAAAGAGACACAAATATTCACTGAAACCAGTTACTATTTATTTTTATGAACTGTGAAGTTGATACCACCCTTACCATGATTTGCCTCCTCTGTGAATACTTTCTATTAGAAACTGAGGTAAGCAAATCCAACCTAAAGATTTTAATCAACATTCTTGAGCTGGAATGGATAAAGCTGGTCTCACCAGCATTTATTATAGACTTTGTTTTAATAGGATGTGTTTTTTCTTGGAAGAAATAAATGTATCTGTGGCTATGTGAGTTACCAAAATCCAAGATTTAGAATGTTTGCTCATTTTAGCCAAGAAAATTCTTTATTTGGGTTCAAAACATATATACCACTAAGTTAATCTGAGCTCAACACCAAATTCCAGGGGATTCATTGAGAATACAGGAAAAGGCATTGTTCTTCCCTACTAAAGATACATCTGAGATTTAACACAGTGACAGATAGCAGACTTTATAACAAGCACTAAGTTAGACGTGGTAGATAAGAACTTTTGGCTCTCTTTATGTGGCAGGACAATTACTTTAAAACTTCAAGTAGGGACTAGAAAACAAGCTTGGGGGTAAAGAGTATTTACTATTCTTCTGAGGTCCCATGTTCAGTTCCCAGCATGATGTGGTCTCTCATGAACATCTGTAACTAGTTCCATGGTGTGCTAGTTAGAAATTGATTGACCCCTGTAATCTCATAGGGAGTGCCACTATTGGGAGGCATGGCCTTGTTAGAGTAGGTGTGGTATTGTTGGAAGAAGTGTGTCCTTGTGGGGGTGGGCTTGGAAGATTTTTATGTTCAGGATACTGCTCGGCATCTCAGTCGACTTCCTGTTGCCTGCAAGATATAGTACTCTCAGCTCCAGCACCACATCTTCCTACTTGCCTCCATGCTCCCTCTCATGATAATGAACTGAATCTTTGAATTGGTAAGAAAGACATCCCAATTAAATATTTTCCTTATAAGAGTTGCCTTGGCCATGGTGTCTCGTCATAGAAACAGAAACCCTAACTAAAACATATATGCTCTAACACTCTCTCCTTGGCTCTCTAGGTACTGCATACATGTGGTACAAAGACAAACATTCAGGCAAAATATTCATATATAAATACAAAATTTAAAGATTAAGATCCATATAAAGGCAGAACAATCCTGTTGTGCTTGAAGTTAAGAAATTTCCAATTTCTTAAGTGTTATTGGTACCTTAAACTAGCAATGGCACAATATTTCCAAATTATTGCTTGCTTTTAAATAGTGTGTGGTAGAAAAATTAAGTGGATTATAAGCTTCTATTTGGTATTTCAAATTGATAGGTGGACTGCATAAAGAAGAAGAAATGATTTTGCTCATGTATTACCTTATCATATTCAAGTTTGCTACCCCTATTATAAGAATTTATTAACACAAAAGCATGTGAATTTATGGAATAAACATTTTTGTGAGAGAAGAAGCATAATAAAAATAAGACCAAAAGATACTGGTGAAATTGCAGAAAGTTTATGCTAGGTTTGATGTAATGTATGGACATAGAGAAGAACAATTGGGAAAAGGAGACATGAGCTTATGATAACAAAGTATCAGATACCAGCAACTCTTTGCAAAATTCTTCTGTGTCCTTTTATCTTTAGGGATAAGAATTCCTCCTGTCTAGGAATAAAGAGGATACTTCTGAAATGAAAGTCTTGTAAAATTTTTAAGAAACCCAGTGAGAAGGTAAGAATGACTTTCCTGCTTCTACTATTTTCTCAGGTGCCAAGGTGTCATATCTGATGCTAGAGGATCAATGAATCTCAAGGGAAAATCACATGTAAGGCACATGTGAGTGACTGAGTTCCATCCCCAGCATGATAGAAACGAACATATTTTGGAGTAACACATTTCCCATCATATGAAAACAAGAAGTTGCATGAGCAGGCAATAATATATATGTATGTTTGTATGTATGTACATATAATTTAATTTTCTTCTTGTTTAAATGCAGTTGGATATTGGAAAAGAATAAGACTGGTGATGACTATGATATTAATGATGGTGATTTTAAATCTAAATTTTCTTTAAATAAAAAGAAGATACTACAAAACCATCAAGCTGATAGATGAAAAAAGAAAATACCAGAGTTTTTTTTAAAAAAAAAAAAAACAAAGATTTAAAAACTTTTGTGTTCACTATTACATATAAAAAAATACGTGCTCTGGTATTAAATAGAAAGATGGCCAAAAAGAAGATATTATGCAGTTGCAGAGCCTTTGGTTTCCATAAACTCCCAGCAGCTAACTTGTGAAGCAGCAGGCTCCACATATGTCAGTCTCTCAGGAAAGTGTGGTCTGTTGGTCAAGTGTGAATTCTAAGCAATGGCTGCCATATGGAAACAATAAAGTGTCAAAGAGGAATCAGAGACAAGTGCTTCTGTTCAGGAAGATCTCAGTGGAGGCCAAAGGGTGTAATCGTAGGGCTTCCTAATTTATCTTGTCATAACAGCAACCTTAGATGAAGATGCTGAATCAGGGCACCAAGCATCACTTGAAGAAAGTAAGTGTTTAGCCGTGGATCACAGGGCAGGTCTGCTTTGAAGCTCAGGGTTTGAGGACTGGTGAATTGGAAGCTTGAAGTTTCCACATTGAAGGAAACAACTTTGATATAAGCCTTGGGGCTGAAATATCAAGAAAAGACTTCTAAGAATCAATTGATGATGAAAGCTCTATCCTGTTTTAACTTACTTTTGTGTGTGTGAAAAGAATAGTACCAATTATTCTGTTTGCTAAGCTGGTTGCTTGTTCCTGTGGGAGAATGCCCATACTGAATTCTAAAAGGATGCTAACCCAAAGAGACACATTGAATGCAGCCATTAATGTGTGGAAAATATCAATTACCTTAGAACCTCTGAAAGGTATCTAATTAAATTATCATTCATAGAATAAAAGTGCAAATATTCTGTTGCTTGACTCAGAGTATAAACAAGGAGAGAAGGAAAGTATCTCATAATTAATAGGTTTGAACTACTTACTACAAAGTTTTCAGCCAGTGAAAATACCCTAAATAAAGAGTGCTGTGATTTAAGTTTAGGAAAATTATAATTTAGAAGTTTTGAATATTTTATGATTAAAGAGATTAAATGTACAAATGTCAGCAAGCTGAAGAATGACTATAAAAACATTTATTCATGCACATATTATACTCCATCTTCCTCAAAGTTCATGGACTTTAAATTGTGAATATTTTACACATTTAATAGCTTGGGAAACCATATCTCCAACAATGTGCACTTGTTCAAAGGGCTTAACAAATCCCTCCCACATTGGAAATATAAGACAATGAATATAATGACAATTGTATTGATAAATGCAAAACTGTCTAAACATTTGCAGTTCAGTAACATACTGAAATTTCTCATATTCACAAGAAATTTCTCTCTTAAATGTCCATACATGTTAACTCACCATGAAAATATAACTGCGGCTAATGACTTTTTAAAATCGGAGAACACACAAATGATATACATGGTTACAGTAAGTGCCTTCTCATTAGATATGATATTAAAATGATCAGTAATAAAAACCATGTATGAAAATTTCTTGAAACATAGTACAGATAATAATTTACAGGTCCTTTTTTATTTCTATGCATTGAAACCATGGTATACCTACTAACACACACTCTATAAGTCCCCCAAGCCATATCATTGGCTAGGCCCCTCCCTCAAAAACTTAAAATTCCAGATTCCATCCATAAAACAATCATAAATCTTTCCCAACTGTTGCACCCACCCCCACCTCCACTCCCATTGCCACTCCACATAGTAAAAAGCCCAATCTTTGGACTTGAAATCTCACTAGTCTTCACCCTGAAGAGTTCTACCCTCCCTCCCCAAGAAACTCTATTTAAGTCCTGCCTTTTGCTCAAATCTGTTCTTTCTATCCTGTGAAGAGGTGGGCATCCTTCTAATTTTTTTCTTTCTTCCCTTCCAATAAATCTCTTGTGTTTGTTGTGTGGTGTGACTTTCTTATATTCCTTGGCTCCTGACTGCCAGGACACCTTTCTATTTCCATTCAAGCTGTAATACTGACATTTGGTGTTGAAACCTAGGATAGGCTCTGCTTGTGCCTGAGTTCCCCAAAAGTACAGTAGGGCCCTATCCCTTATCTCCACCCTCAACAGACTCACCTGCCATCTCACTATTTGCTCAACATCCCATCCACCAGCAGCCATTAGGTAAGTTTCCTCTTTGGCCGGTGTTAATATTTTCCTGAGTCTGAGGAAATGAACACTGATACCCAGAATCGCTCTGGTATCTCTTGTAGGTGGAGGTACACTCAGTCTTTAAGGCTATAAATGGTCCTCTTCACTTGACCCCATCCCTCAACCATTGGAGTTGATGTCCTGCATTTTCCTTAGGCCAAACCAGGCTATTGTGCCCCTTCTTGCCCTCTTCTCCAATTTTTCTTTCAGAGTTGCAGGTACTGTACCACAGCATAGCAAAACTAACACTTTGATTAAGGAAAAGCCTCCATGGCTGGAGCAGAGTTGATAGACTTACATTAGGGAAACCTTTCCCAAAACAGAGGTGTAATTCCACAGCTGGTCTAGGCCCTTGTGGCTTTTGTGACTCCAGCAATGTTCATTTTGTGACCCTTTCTCTCTTTCTCCACTGACTTAGATTTTATGAAAACCTCACTCTGTTACTAAGAACAGGTTGGCCCCAGTAAAATTCAGTGGTCTAAATTGGAATGCTTTATTTTCAATGGTAGCAACTTCTGCCACTGCACAAACGATCTGAAAATCTTTTATAGCTATATTTGCTCTCTCCTCCTCTATTTATTCCTAACTACACCTGTCCAAACTAACTCTTACATATGGAGACCCCCACACCTCTAACCAATAACCCAT